GCGGCCTCTCTGAAAACAAACTACCTCATGTTTGGTTACTTACCAATAGCTATCTATGGGCAAAATATCAGCGGAAACAAATTTTTGGCTGTGGCCACGAAATTTCAGTTTTGCTCGATTTTTATAGGCATTGGCTCTTAATAATAATGCCGGGCAGTCATAGGATGACCTTCTTCAGCAAATTTTTCCAACCCCAACTAATTGCGATTATTTCGTAATTCTATTGTTACGTGCAACAAAAGCTACTGATTTTTTCATTTTCCTTCGTAGTGGTTTTCTCATGAGATACAGGAAACTGCAAAATGCAGTTTCCCTCAGTTTAGATAGCCCAAAATCCTATGGGGATTTTTAAAAACAAACGCCTTGATGCTTGATGCAAGGAAATCGCACGAGTTTGAGGGTGTTTCCTTAAAATTGTAACTTGGTGACGATTGTAACTTGGTAATGATGTTGGATGGTTTCATACATCAAAGAGGGATAACCTTATTGTGGAAAAGTTTCCAAACCTAATCAACAGCGGTTAATTTCGTGATCTGACAGATACATGCAGCGAAATCTACGGACATCGATGTGTCATGATTGTCAGTGATTTTGCCGTTTTCTCCCCCGAGATATAGCACATTGCCAAATACAGGTGACTCAAAATACTTTCCTTTCGGTACTGCAGCAAGGTTTGATTTGATCCATTATTTAAAGGAGTGACCTTCAACCATGAATGTTGATCTTTGATAACAGCACTGAAAAATATATCTTGATCTGCTAGATTCAGTTCACTTATAAAAATGTACCGTCAACGAACCCTCTTTTCTGAATTACAAGCAAATGAAAATAAAACCTACAGGGTGTTTTTGGGAGGCTGCAGTTTTGCCTAAGTATGCTTCTAGGGTAGTGAATAATATCATATCATGTCAGGAATGGGCTCCGAGTCATGCCAAGAAATGAATGGCATTATTTATATATCCGGAATTTTAAAGAAAAAAAGTAAAAACCTTAGAAGCGGTGATCCTTGTCGAGTGGTATTTGAGAAAAATAACAGAGCCATTTTGATTCACCTTAATATAACAAGCATTTGTCTTTTTGACGTCAAAATCCTTTAGGATAAGCTGCTTGATATCTATGATGCTCTTCAGGCCATGATGGCACATTTCGTCATAAAATAATGTTTTATTTCTCAGGAAGTGACTTTTACACCTTGCAGAACTCGGTTTCTGCTCACCCAACACCTCTTTAAAAAGGGAGAAAGTGACTGAATTCAACGTATTTACCTTATGTTACGACTCGGTTGTAAATATAATTTTGTCTGTCAAGCAAAGGATCCAACAGCTCGGAATACGGTATCAAAACATTTCTTAATGTGTTCAATTAGGCTCTGTAATAACAGTTGTACATTTACGTTTTCTCTTATTCAATGTAATGTGCCTTAGATATGATAATAATTAAAAAACGCAGTGTTTTTAATATGCCATCATATGGCGATAATTAAATTTGTTATTTTATCTAATTCATTTTTTTCTTTCCCTCGCCTTTGCTATGATTTTTCATTTTGCTTGGAACTTCCATCTGTGATCTTGAGTAGGAATAGCTGTAAATAAATTAGGACTGCAAGGAAATGATTATTTACTCGTGTAGACGAATTAAAGTACTAGTAGCTCCTATTCATCTCTAGATCTGCGCAGATACTGACAATAATATAAAGTAAATATTGCCAGGCATTTGGAATGTCTAAAAATATCCATAAGCACATTTTCTTCCTGTTGAGAAAGCTAGGCGCTCGTTGAATCATCATTTCTATGGGTATAAAGTTTAAAAAAATACAACGTTTGCAAATCATGAGACTTACGTAGATATTTAACAGTTTTCGCTTTATTTCGTTCTACAAGAACTTCTGTATCAATTAAAACTACTCTTTTTTAAAACAATAACTTTGCTCGTCGTACGTCAAATTGTCGAAGTTGAACAAATTATCAACAATTTATCTTAGAAGTGTGTATCATTACGTTTCTGAACATTTTTTTTTTAAAAAACAAAATCAACACGCATCAATTAGTTAGGGATTTTTTAATTTAAATCTATCCGCTAGTTTTGAGTTGTTTACCCATTTACTTATTAATAACTTTTGTTAATTTTAAATTTTTAGATAAAACATCATCGTTTAATTTCATTAAGGAGCTCTCTTCATCAGAAAAAGCATAAAAAGCTTTTTGTAACTCTGCATATTACTGTTCCTATTAAAACAGCCACAGTCACGTTTACCGTTGCAAAAATGAGGCCTGATTTCAACATAAGTATTTCTCCATCCCAGCTCGAAATGAGTGATTCTATTTAAATATCTCCTTATTATTTTTTTTTTCTTTTTTTTTTGTCCTATATTTTCCTTCACAATCATCGCAAATATCAATTTATTATTCTTTAGGTAAAATATCAATTAGTGTAAGAAACATACCATGACATAACTACGGTATTTTGAAGCCAGACGTTTTAATTACCAGTCAGTGATAACTTCCTGTGGAACTTTTCATTCAACACGTAAACATTGTCACTTATTTACGTGCATGAATTAGCTAGGGACCTTTAAAAGAAGAGAACCATTGGAAGAGATCGCGTTTTGGACTTCAGGAATCCGAAGGAGCAAAAGGACTCTAGGATCTGTCTTTTAATGATAAAATACCCAGGAAGACTTTAAGAAGGGAACTAGATCTGCTGATTGAGTAAGTTATTGGTTACAAGATGAAAGGTTCCAAACGTTGTTTTGCCCTCAATCGTCTATTTTAAGTGCTACTCTCGCTAAGAGCGGTCCCCTCGACTTCCCGTCCAAAAAGGGGTTTAGGACGCATGTTTCAAAAATAGACTGTCACAAATTGTTGTTCCTTTTTATCTTTAAAAAGAGGCAAAAAATGTTTAGAGTGACGGTATACAACCGTTTCAAAGTTAACTGGTTCTGGTCAATACTCTTCTGTTTGTTAGTGTGGCTCAGAATTCGATATCACGGTAAAGATGCGTGACGCTGTATCAGAACTAATAGCTCTACCAAACTGTTATCCGTCTTAGCGTTTCCACCGGTTTGTTCCCTGATTGACAGTTAGATTTTCTTAGAAACTGCGACGGCGACACGTAGCACAAGAGTCACTACCTCTGATTCTGAATCATATCTTACTTTTGTCCTCTCTGCAGATATTCGTTGAACATGCGAAAATTGGTAATTTTGTTCATTCTCGTGACTTGGACGCGGTCTGTCGCAGTGGCTGATCATGATAAATGCAATGCAGATAGGGCCTGGAAGCTGTTTGTTTGTGATGGGAATCAGTGGCAAGCCATAAAAACTGATGATATTTTAGATAACAGAGGCTCACCCGAAAATCCGGGAAAATCGTGCGATGACATAAAAGATAAAAGACCCAATGCAGCGAATGGCATATATTACATCACGTTGGGTGGTAAGTTGTCGTTTTTCGGGTTCAATTGCAACCTTTGCGTGCATAGGCTAAGCTCGTTTCATTTTATAAGCGTACTAGCCCAGATGTCCATGTTCTTTAGTAGAGGACATTTCGCCCTTCCGTT